TGCGCCGCTCCGCGCATCTGGTTTTCGACGCGCCCCGCCCCGCCCCGCCCCGCCCCGCCGGCTCTGCATGTGCATGAGAGCGCGACGCGACTACGTTCGGCTCATCTGGGAAAGCGATTCCCTGCTGCTGCTGCTGCTGCTGCTGCTGCTGCCGCTGCCGCTGCTGCTGCTGCCACTGCCGCTGCTGCTGCCGCTGCTGCTGCTGCCGCTGCTGCTGCTGCGAGTGAAGGGGGTTATTAGTAGAGGCTTGGTGACGGTGAACATCTTGGCGGCGCAGGGGGGAGAGGGGGGGGGGTAAACAATATCGTCGACACCACCATTCCACCACGCACACGGACTCCATCGCGGCGGGAGAGAGAGGGGCACAAGGGAGTTTAACCCTGGGTCGCGTTTTGCTCGACCAGGATATGGATATGGGTGTGCGTGAGCCCTTCCCCCTCCGCCCCCGCGCAGCCCTTTCCCTTCCTGCGAGTCGTCTGCTGCCGTTCTGCACGACCGTGCTGGAAGATGACTTTGTATTGGGGTTTCGGATTTGCGTAATGCCGCCACCAAACAGCACGGCCAGCAAGCAGCAGTAGTACACTGCCTGTCGTCGCGCTCGGTTTGACCAGGGCGTGGCGGGGCGTGGCGGGGCGGAGCAGTGTGCCGAGCTGTTTGCGTACAAATCGCGCCCAATGCTGGAATCAAATACACGGGGGAAGGCCATGTTGCTGCGGCCGGCCCCCGCCACGCCCTGCCCCCGCCACGCCCCGCCCCGCCCAGCGACGCCACGGGCGTACGGCACAACTTTCCTAGGTGCCGTCTCAACGGCTCCGTCGGATTAGTTGTTTCTCTCTTACAATGGAGAAAAATAAACAATTGCAACGAATTAAAACAACAACTCACATTTCAACGTAAGAAGAACACAAAAGTAATAAGGTAATAAAAATCGATAAAAATATAGAAAATGACTCACAGGAAAGAACGTATGTCCCCATATGAAAAACTTAACTATTTTTTGAATTTTACAAAAACTTTGTTTAAATTCAGCCTTGTGTTCCCGCGGGTTCTCCTCCCTTCCTGCCCGCATAGCGCCCCACGGTGCTTTTTTCCTGCCCCGAACGTTTGCCAAGTGCAGCCCTCGCCGCTGCTTCTTGAGCTTTTCCTTCCCATCCGTAACGAGGCGCCCAGTAATTACCTCTAATTGCGCTGCGAAATTACCTTGCTGTCTTCCTTGGCAACTCCGTATAACGACGTGATTTTTTTTTACTTTAGCGCTCTCCCTCTCTCTCTAGCTTTCTTTCTAGCCCTGTCTCTAGCTCTCTCTTGCTCTTTCCATCCTCATTTCTTTCGCGCTTTCTCTCTCTCCGCACCGCGGCGCGCCGTTTCGTTTGGGGGAAAACGCAACGTTTATTTATGACTTCTTGACCCGATATAATAAGAGAGTGCGTTTGGGCGAATTAAGTGAAGGCACATTGTGCGTGTTACGTCATTTCGTCGTTTTGTAGAAGGTGAGTATGCCACCCAGGTATGTTACGCCCTTTGCAGAAAGAGTTGTCTGGTTCCTCCATTCCGCCCTCTCACTGCATTTCCGGTGCATCACCACCTAGTGCCCTGCACACCTCCAAGCAAAACGACTATAACGATGAAACAGGGAAACTTTAAATTCTACAAAAACGTCTAGAATATTTATTGGAAAAATAATGAAAAACATCGGAATTAAATAGTTTTTAATTGTACAACAATAACCAAAGATTTTGTACCACATGTGCTGTATGTGTGTTTTTTCCCTACAGTATGAAGCTTGCACACAGACGACACAGATGAGCAATGAAATTTGTATGCCGCCTTGTCCCAAATGTGATGCAGGGCCCACGCGCTCGCAAAGCTGTCGGCGCGCGGGGTTCGAAAACACATCCAGCCGCCATTAGGGGGCATTACCTTATATTACTGCGTCTGTGTGTGTGTGTGTGTGTGTGCGTCACGTTAAAAATAAAAATAAATAGGCTTTGCATCCACTCGCCTAGGCAGTTATTCATTTTATTGATACTGGATACACATTATGACGCCGTTAAGACGAGAGGGGGGGAAGAGAGAGAAAAAATAAAACGAACTATGAGGGGAGCAGTCAGGGCGGCCCTGGAAATCACACACGTGACGTGTGTGTGTGTGTGTGTGTGTGTGTGTGTGTGTGTGTGTCTGTGTCGCGGGGGTCCCCGCCCGGGGGGGTCGGCCACCGTGCGTGCAAAGGGCGGGCCGAGTTCCTCTCGGAGCGTGCGCGCCGGTCCTAAACAGGAGCCGGAAGTGACGGAAAGACCTATAAAGGGCCGACCGGTGTGTGCGTGTGTGTGTGTGTGAGCTCCCGTGTGGTGTGCACCCCCCCCCCCCCCCCCCCCACACACACACACACATACACACTCCTTTTTCCGCCATTCCAGAAGGGCGGTGATTACGGTGACCACACGTCCGGCCAACACTGTTGTATAGTTAGCCGAGGAACGAAACGTGTAGCCTAAACACACTTGTAAAGTGAGTGTCAAGACTCACGCGGAAAATTCGCGCCCCCAATTTTACAAGAATGTAACTATACGGATGCCTTTTGTCTATGATTTCGTTGTTAGACAGTTTCACCAAGTTCCACCCACTATACAGGCGGAAAGGAGCGACTTTTACCCGCTGTTTGAGAATTGGCTGTTTACATTCTGTGTGTTCGGTTGCACATTTGCAAGTGTGTGACTTGGCACACTCAGGTGGTCGGGAGGGGCCGGAAATGGCTCGTCGCGGGGGCCGAATGGCTTTCCAATCGTGGCGCAGGCTGGCCGGGCGGGGCGGGGCGTACAGGAAACCCGTGCCGAAAACAATGCGGGTACTGTGTGCGGAGGGGCGCGGCGGCCCGGCCCCGCGGCCCACTGCGGCCCAAACTCGGAGCGCTTTAGGGTTTGCTCTGAGGGGGCGCGGCCAAGTTAGGGAGACTCGACTTATTTGGGCAGCAGGTCAAAGCCCTCTGCTGCAGCGTAGCGGTGCTCTCTGACGTAGCCTCCTGTGCTGCATTTAGTGCGCTTTGCTGTAAATTATCATGCCTGTGTGTGTGTGTGTGACGTGTCACCGCCTCACACTATTGGGTTGTTTGGTCACATGTGTCGCTTTATGATGGCGTTGGGGCTTTACCGGGTGTTCGCGCCTGCGACCCCTGTGCTGGGGGATGGGGGTTTGGGGTCTTCTAACGTCACATCAATACTGCTCGATATTTCTTCCAGTTTACCTCCATTTTTTAAACCGCGGGGGTAAAAATGTTATGAAATACATAGACGGGCCTCCAAAGTGTACCGATTTGTACACCTGCTGAAAACGACAGTATTATTTCTGAGTGCTAACTTTTGTCTGATTCAGATAAGTACGTAACCTTAACATATGACTCTTTTCCTCGCCTTTTTTGGGTATCTTTAGCCTGCCTTGGTCATATCAAGTACCTCAAAACTGACCCACTGGAAGGGAGCCCCGGGTTATTCCTGTCGCTCACCGGGCCTCGTTAGAACCTCTTCAGGTAAATTACCCTGAATACGGCTTTACCTGAAAAAATTGTCATATTCAGGTGTATTGCAAAGAGGGCATCGAATTTGGACATCTGAGCGTCATTATTTTCTTGGTGGTTTCGGTAATCACCTTGTTTGTTGTCGAAGAGTCTATGATAAGAGTGTTCTATGTATATCAAAGGCGGTTAAGGAATATTTTTGAAATCGTCCTTACTTGTCGACGTCACCTTCTGTGCGCCGCTGGAAAGAGAGGGGAGCCCTCATGTACATTTGTTATCGTTTTTATACGGTCTGCTACGCGCTGCCACCACGGTGGCGTGAGAGAGAGGGGAAGGGTGGGGGGGGGGGAGAGGTGGGGGAGCAGAGAGATGGACGAGTATCGTCATGTGTTTTGTCAACAAGGAGAAAAAAGGGACGGGCGCACAGCAGATCAGGTGAAGGACACATGTGTGTTTTGTCCGTGTGCGCGGACGAGGCGAGGCGAACGGATCCGACATGGAACATGTTATTCTACACTCGATCGTCGCGCCCCGCCGGGGCCTCGCCTCGGCGCCCTTCTTTAGAGAGTGGATCGTTCTAGAAATGCGTCATCAGGTGCTCGGCATTCCCGGTTACTCGCCTCACTTGGGCAAAATTTAGTCATTGTTACATTTTTTGAAGATATAAGTAAAAACAGGTTAAATTCTAAGGGTACCCCTTACCCATGCTGATAATTTCTCTTTACCGTTCAGACAAATTAGTGTCTCATTTACATAGATGTTCTCAAGGCGTGTCTCAAGGGCACCGTCCTTGCTAGGTACAAAATTGTCTCTTCTATTTAGAGTGTGGAGAGTGTTTGGTGAAACGGAAATGTTTTTGCCGTGCGGAGAATAGTGCAAAAGAGTCGGCGAGAAGCAAGGCGAGGAGGAGAGGAAAATGCGATTTTGTGTTTGTGTGAAAGAGAGAGACCGCCAGCGCGCAAAAAAATAAAACCGAAACCTCTTCTTGAGAGCAAAATAGCTTTAGATACGGAGGAGCCAACAGCGGAGGAGGAGGTGTCCCGCTGTGTCCAAGCTACCGTGGCGCCACCCATCATCCAGTTACCGTCACCTCCGTGGGTGCTGCGCCCCGCCCCGCCCCACCCCGCCACCGGAAGGCTCCCCTGCAGGGCGCGCAGGGCGCTGTGTACAGAAAGGCGTTACATGCAGGTTGCGCGCGCGCATGAGAGAGAGAGGAGTGAGAAACGAGGAAACAAGGAAGTGGGAAAAAATACGGGGAGGGGGGGAGGGGCGAAGGAGACGTCGGCGGGGAGAGCCAGTTGCTAAAAATGCTGACATGCCTCCGCCATTCATCACCCGGCAGGCGCCAGTGCCGCAAACCGAGCTCCTTGATCCTGATATGCAAATATGGAGCGCGAGGCGCAAGGCCGCGGAGGTGCGCGTCCTGGACCAGGAGGAGCGTTGTACAGCTCTCAAGGAAAACATTCCAAAAAGAAGTAGTAACAGAGAATCATTTACAATGATTTGTTTATTCATTAATTAGGGACATCAACAATACTTATATATTAATAATTTAAGAATCGCCAAATTAAAGTTTCTCTAAATATTAAGGGCAGGGTTTCTCAAACCAACATGCGGGGAATTACGTATTTCCACATTTTTGCACGTCATGGGTGTCAGCTAAATGTAAAATTTCGACGTCATTTCGAGGTCATCTCTGTTTCTGGGTCCTGCTGGCCCTCGTCCGGACTACCTCTTGAGGATCGGTGCGTTATGTTCATGGTGCAGCAGGTCACGGGGACGCCTGCGCGCGCCAGCACGCACGCGCACACGCACGCGCACACGCACGCACACGCACACGCCGTCACAAACATGAGCACGTAGTCCCATAGCTCACGCACCGGCATACTGTGGTCGGGCCTGTCGGTACTGCTACCTGACGTGCTGCTTGCTGTAGGGGCGAGGCCGGTACTTGTCGTGGGCGAGGCAATGCTGCCAGCTAGCACGACCTGGACGCACCCACAGCCGCACTTTAAATAATCCTCATCGCACGAGTCTTGACATACTTCATTGTGACAGTTTTTGCCACATTCGTCGGCTTTACTACTGCACCTCCTCTCCGCGTAGCACTTGTACCACCTGTCGTACGAGTCCTCGTCCCGCCCAGTACCCGTCGGCAGTCCCCCGCAGCCGCAGCTGCAGTCCCAGTAGCACATTATCTCACAGTTCCTATCGTCCGCGCCGCACTCGCTGCAGCTCCCGTCGTGTGGAAGGCGGCACTGCAACACGGGAGAGGGGGGGGGGTGAGCCTTGCGGGGAAGCCGAAGGTGTAATAGAGTCTACACCTTAGCCTTAGGACGGCCCCCTCCTCAGACCACTCAGTCTCACCTGACGTTCTTTGTGACATTTCACCCAATCCTTATACTCAACGGTGTAGCGACGACGTCGGGCAGCGGCGGTCTCCGTCGTGGTGCACGCCCCGGAGTGGGTGGCGTAGAGTCCTGGTCAACACGATTCGTTGTACAGTAGAGGTGGCCTCGCAATGGAACTCCAGGCCGCAGGGACTCACCGGGCTGGTCGGCGCACTGAAGCTGGCACTCGCTGGAGTAAGTGCGGCCGTCACTGCCGCACACGGGGGAGTTCTCGGAGGTAGGCGGGCAGGGGCAGAGCGCGGCCAGGGAGACCGGCAGCAGCACGGCGGCTAGCATCGCGTAACGGTACATCTAGGAGGCACGTACATCCTGACTGCCAGCAAACACAAACTCTATGGGATCACACCGTGCTGTTACATACTTTTGCTTTGGAGGCTGGAATGTCTAGGCGGGAGTGTTGTGGGCACCCGTTGCTGTTCGCGACTGGCAACTCGCCGTTCTCTGTGACTTTAGCGCGTCCGCCAGCTCTCAGTATTGATAAGGACCTGTACTGCACTTGTAAGGCCGGGCCTTTGGAGGGGACAGCCATGCGTTTTGCCTTGAAAAGGGGCGTTCTATCAAGCGTATAAAAGCGTTTACGGCTAGCCCCTGGAGGTCCCGGAGGCCCTGCTGGCCCAGCTAGTTCGGGCGGCCTCGCTGTAGATCCTGGAAGCCCTGCAGGAGGTGCTGTACGCCCTGTCGGGGACTGGTGGCCGGGTCAGTTCGGGCGGCCCCGCTGTAGATCCTGGAAGCCCTGCAGGAGGTGCTGTACGCCCTGTCGTGGACTGGTGGCCGGGCCAGCTCCGGCGGCCCTGCTCGAGGTCCTGGAGGTCCTGCAGGAGGTGCTGGACGCTCTGTGGTGGCCTAGTGGCCGGACCAGTTCGGGCGGCCCCGCTGTAGGTCCTGGAGGCAATGCAGGAGGTGCTGGACGCCCTGCGGTGGGCTGGTGGCCGGGCCAGCTCCGGCGGCCGCGCTAGATACAGCGGAGATGCCTCTCCACCGGTAATGAACAAAGTTTAACCCGCTAACCGCGCGGGGCGCGCTCCACCGCCGGCCTCTGGGCGGGGAGGGGTGTGGCGGGGCGGGGTGGAGCGAGGTGCTCCTTTTCATTGGCTTTCGGAGTGGCGTCCAGGTCCATCGGGGTTTAATCCACCATGCATCATCTTACCGCCGCTTTGTCGTGGTCGCGCGCGAGGGCAGGGGCCCTGCGAAGGCTCTTGGCCGGCATTTACTACTCTGTTAAAACTGTTCACTACTTCAAAGTTTTCGCATTTGCATTTGCTAGTGTGTGCTCTAAATTTTATGAAAATTCTTAAAGTTCCTCAGTGCATTCTATCTCACCGTCACCGTCTCTCTGCGTCTCCTGCTCGGTCTGTCTCATTCTCTTTACTCCCTCTCCCCCTCTCCCTACTTCTTTTCCTCTCTCTCTCTTTCTCCTCGCACGTCGCTCTCTTTGAAAAAGACCCAAAATAAGGCTCTCAGCGGTGTATCTGTCTCCCTCTCTCCGACTCCCGCGCCGAGTCGCTGCTGTTGCCTCAGCGTTTGCCCGCGCATGTGGAATTTTAATGGGTTTTCTTGTCGGTGATGGGGAGCTGTTAGGAGTCGCTTACGTGGAGGCTTATCCATCGTACTGTTACACTGCCTTACACCTTGTAGAAAAAATTACAAAAAATATGACCTTTACGGGTTTGCCCATACCGTTTCTTTGTTTCACTGTTTTCTTCTGTCCGACACGTTTTCAGGGTCTACTCTTGTAAAGCGATGTGTGTGGGTGTGTAAGCGTTTGTATTGGCGGGCATCAGAGCGGATTTGGATTCGCTGAGAGAGGCACTCGGTCTTTGCGCACCGCCCGAGTAGTCGTGTACTTAGGCCCTCCGCACGCCGACGGAGGAGCTGCGGATATGTGTGCAACAAGAAAAGCTAACTATATCTTTCTGTGTGCCATCTTTCAAAATCGAAAAAAGTATGGGTAGGTGAAATGAAAACGTAATTTAAGCGGAACTGTGTTAAAGTGCAGGTACAGTATTGTGTCGGTTCTAGTTCGCAATTGCTGCGGGCGAGATGTATTGGTTAGGTGTGTCGGTGTGCGTGCGTGTTGCCTCGATAGTGTGTCGCGAAGGTGTAATTGCTTTTCGCATACCGTGCGCCCTGGACCGTTTATGTCTCGCAACTCTCTCTCTCTCTCTCTCTCCACATACGCCCCTCCCCCCAGCAGCTTCCTCAGCTCGGGGTCGCGGCGAATGCTGGCCGAATCTTGATTATTTCAAACCGAGTGGAAGCCTTCGGAATTGCTTGTCCTGCCGTTCCATGCATACAATATCATGTGGGTCGGGCATAAGTGTTATTTCCAAGTCAAGACACTCTCTCCGCGGCCACGTATGTCACAGGCGACCCCTGCTCCCGGCAGCGGCATGCGACACACTCTCGAAAACACCAACAAGACAGATCCCGAATCTGCTGAACTCCTCCTATAAAAAAATTGCACAAAAAACAACTTTGAAGTTTGCAATGAATGTTAATCATTTATGTAAATAAAAAACTCTAGCTTTGTTGTATTTTTCTTTGTATTTTACTAAATATTTTTTTTGTAAAATTTGGTCTTTTATACGAAACCAGTACAGGCGCCGGCAAATAAGTTGAGCGTAACGTAAAGTACATCATTAATTGGCAATTGCGTGAAGTCGGTGTTTCCGTTTACACGTTTCTCGATCGGGAAATAAAGCCCGCCATGGGAAATCCGACGAGAGACTTATGGAAGGCCCACGGCATTCCAACTAAATACCGAAAAACAAAGACGCTTGCTGTCGAAACACACGGGCCCGGGTGCGATTTACTGCTCGAGGATTTACGTGGAGAAAATAGACTGATGTCTGTGAGTGTGTGAGAGAGAGACAGCGTGAGGAACGAAGAGAGAGAGGGAGGGTGAGGGAGGGAGGGGGGGACTAGAAAGGCTATGTGACGTGGCGTTGCTCGGGGGAGATTTAGGTGCAGTTGTTGCTGCGAGGACAAAGGGACCGGGCGACCTTTTAACTGGACTCACCCTTCTTCCCCACACGTTCGTGCGCGCGGCAGATGAACTGCTCCCCGCCCGGTAGGTAGGCAGGACGTGTGACGGTCGCCAGGCACATGTGACACTCGGGAGATCCTGTTCTTCGTGTGTGTGTGTGTGTGTGTGTGTGTGTGTGTGTGTGTGTGTGTGAGGAGAGGGGAGTGATTATCGTGTACACGGGGCGTTCCATTTGAACAGCCCGCGCTCCGCTCCTTTCATGCCCTGCGCGTCGCGGAGGTTGAGTTTCACCGAACGCCCCGGGACCATAGGACGCGGAGTCGCTGCGCCGCCAGGAACGAGAGCTCGAACGAGAGCCAGTGTGTGTCGAGGATGATTTAGCAGGAGAGTGTTGCCTGCCTGCTTTGAAAGCGGAGCCCGCTAACTGGCGCGACTTTGTTCCAAATTAGTTGTCGGGTCGTTCCCATACCACGTGACCTTTCGGAAAAGGGCTGGGGGGGGGGGAGGGGGGCTACAAATATATTATGGGGTTTCAAATGAATCGGGACCATATCATTCCAACAGTATTTCTGGCCTGCGAACTCCGATGGTCCTGACCCTATTATACCAGGTGGCTGATTAACCCCGCGCACTTCTGTAGTTGTGCTGTATAGAGAGACTCATAGGGAGAGAGGCGTCAACTCGGGGGCCCGCGCGCTGCGCTGTGATTGGGTCGGCACTGGGCGGCTCCGTCGGCCAGCCTAACATCTGGCCTCACAAAGGCAGGGAGTTGCGAACCCTCCGGAGCCCGCCGGGCTCCGGCGAGCCCCCTAGGGTCAGGCGACACAGATGCGCGGCAGCGCTGCACCGGAGTGCGCCCGGCGGCGCTGCCGAACGTCGCCCGAACGACCGTCGGGGTGCATTCGGCACGTCCGCCCGGCCAACCAACGGGCGCAGCGCCTAGCAGCGCCGACCCAATCACAGCGCAGCGTGCGGGGCCCCGAGTTGACGGCTCTCTCCCTCTGAGTCTCTCTAGTGCTGTACCGCGCGCACGAGTGCGAGCGGGTTGCCAACTCGCCCGGCGTAAGGCGCCGTGGACAGGGGCGATAGGCAAGCCCGCCCGCACTCCTGCGTGCAGTACAGTCTGACAACAGAAGTGCGTGGGGCTAATCAGCCACCTGGTATACGTAGAGACACCCCCCCCCCCTCCCATAAGGTTGACGTTCAGGGGACGACCTCTTTACAACAGCACCTCCCTCCATCGAACGTGGAAGGTGCGCAAAAGCTAAGTACGCAACAACATGCTCTGCTTTTAAGAATTGAAAATTATAAACCGAGCACAGTAATAATAATAATAATTACGAGGAGCAGAGAGGGGTATAAACTGCCGTTGGTACAGATGGGTGTGCCACATGTGCAGGTCGGACTAAGACCGTAACGGGGACGTGCTGCGCTCTGGCGGGCGAGGCGCGCGGCGCGCCCAAGTGTGTAGCGGTGTCACTCGCAAGAGGGTACAGTACAGCACACTGCTGGGGAAACATCTCCAAATTAGCAGCAAGGTTAAAACCATCAATTATTGACACAATTTGAGACTGAAAATCTTGTTGTAAATGCTGGGCACCAGCGGTGTTAGTTGGTTGTTGGTTGAACAATAAAGGCAAATTGTTTTTAAATCTTCTCGTTTTGTCCTGTGTGTGTTCCTGATTCTAATCGACCCCCTTTACGTCTGTTGCAGGTACGTACGTGACGTGAGGCGTCCCCTGGCGGCGACGGCGCGAAGCTTCTCCCGTCCGATATATTGGTCCGTTTTGACGCCGCCGAGCCGACGCCGCGGGCCTCCCCGGCGTGTGTAGGGGTAGGGTAGGGTGTCTGCAGGCTGGGGGAGAACTGATTATGCTCAGGTCCGCTCGTACCCCGAGAAAGAGAGAGGGGGAGAGTGAAAACTTTTTCGTCGGATGCTCGAGCTTAGCGTCGTGTGGCGGTAGTACACTGCTGCGCTACTGGGGGTGTGGCTCTCGGGGGCAAGGTAGAAGTGGAACATCGTGAGATTAAAGGGGGTGGGGAGGGGTGGGCGGGGCGGGTCCTCTGGGAGCAGCGCAGGGGGTGCAAGCGAGTTGCCCTAGGCTGTGGTGCCTGCCCGTCTGTCTGGCCGGCTGCCCCGGCTGTCCGTCCGTCTTCCGTCGCTCCAGTAAGGAGTGACCGCCTAAGGACCGGATTACTTCTCATACTCGCCCCTCCTCCCCCGTGAGACGTGCTCGTGCCGGTGCTGCCCCGGGGCTGTGCTGTGTGTGTGTGTGTGGACAAGAGTTTGCTGATCTCTCCGTAAAACCCCATCATCTGCGCTTTGCAACATGACAGAGGGGCGGCGGCGCCTTTGATTGCTCAGGGGGTCCTGAGCACACGGCTAACTCACTCGCCGCCGTGAGATTCGTATGCAGATGCACAGCACACACTGATCGTCCCGCACGAAAATACACGGGGATGTGTACTTTCGAGTTCA